TCCGCCAAAGCTGTAATCCAATCATCGAGCGTGAATCTTCCCCATGATATCCTCATGAAGTCTCTCAAGCACCTTGCTTGTAGGCCTAGTGATGATTTGAAATCCTCTCACCCAATTGCTTATCATCTTAGCCAACTCGTTCGCCACAACGTTCTGCTCCCCGTAAGCATGCTGCATCTTGAAACTTCCCCTTTTCAATATTGAATTATTGTTAAGTTCAAATATGTTTAATTGTAACATTTTAAAATTTAATGGTCTAATTATGTTTTTGCATAAAGCTTATTTGTAACACCCCGTGTTATGATCTTCAAACCTGGATTAGTTATGTAATTAATCCCATTAAAGAATAGTTAAAAAGGATTTAATCCGGTCAGGATCCCTTAATTAATTAATATGGCCCACGGAGGACCGTGGACCCTTATCTACATTAAAGACCTTAAACCTATTAGGAATAAAGTAAATAGACCTTTTACTATTCAGATTCTAATTGGGAATCCTAGACCTATATATCTGTTAGGAATAAAGAAAGTAAGTCTTTACTATTCAGATTCTAATTATAATCCCTAACTCCATAAATAGCGGATTAGAAAACAAGTAGAACCCTTACCACCCATAGTTATATTACACAAAATTATTCCCAAGAGACCAGGCTAAGAGATTCCCCACCACCAAACCTAGGGAGATCAATCGGAGGGAAATCATGGGAAAGAACCTTAATAGCCAAGGGAGGATTAATTAAGGCTAAGAGGTAACCCATGTCTTACAAAACCTATTTTCCTTGTTATTGTTTATTGATTGGCTCCGATTGAACGATTGATCATGTGATTTTGTATGTGTATCCTGTTAGAGCTTGACTTTAGGTTTATATGGTGAATTATTGCTATTATTGATGGCCTTGTGTGGTTATTGGTCTGATCTTGTATTTAATTATGTCTAGAGCTTGTCCCTAGGGTTTATATCGTGAATCTCGTGTTGTGATGTTCTTGGTACTCTTGGATGGGTATATGCATGCTCGGGTGTTGATTCTAGTCTAGGACTTGTCTTTAGGGCTTTGCATATAGATTTCTTGATGTTCTTGAGGTTCCGGATGCTCCTGAACCGTTATGTGATTAATTTCGTGTCTTGGCATGTTTAGGAATAGTGTTAGAATGTAATTGGAATGATTCTTGGTTCAATCTTTGGGACCCGCCGCCCACCCGCTGGAAAGTGGTGATGCGGCAGGTCGTTTTCCCCCGTTTGTTGTTTCCTCGTGCCCCGTTGTGCCCCGTCGTACCCCGTTCGATGTTTATGAGTCTCGTATGATATTTTGAGTGCCGTTCTAGGAATTTATGTGTAGTGCGTATCGTTGCTATTATACCTTGATTGTTATTATTGATTATATGTTGATTGATTGAATGATGATGGGTGTTGTGATCATTGCTGTAACACCCCTAAATTTAAGATATTTAAAACCTATAAAATAAAGGTTGAGCTATTATTAATTCCCAAACAGAGCAAAAGCTAAACATAATGGTCGGGGTGCTATGTTACATTTGAGCTAGAGAACTCAGATGCACAAGCTAAACTATCTAACAAAGCATAAACCACAATTGATATCTAAGTACAAATCAAGGAACGCAGGCCATCTCATCAGGGCTAGGACTATCTAGGCTAGATCCACGAATCCAACTAGCACGCTCCGAACTACTCAATTGTCCCTAAAAAACATTCAGAGTAACAACTGTCAGCGAATAATGCGGGTAACCCACTCCAACGCGTTAAGTACAATATAGATAGATATAAGAAACTCATTTTGAAACTGGAATACATATATACTTACAAGACTCTAGTTTAAATCCAAGATCAAGACTCAAGGTATATTAACAGACTCAATATCATAGAATAATCATAAGAAATAACAGTCATCCAAAGCATGCATTACAAGACGTGACAGGCAGGTAAACATACAAATAACAAGTAGAGGCAACTAAGGCATTCAATACAATCAAATAGCAAGTAATCATCAAAGCACACAATTCATCCTCCAACCTTATACCAAGTTCCAACCTTGTAGCTCCCCTCCGTCCTTATATCAGTTCCAACCTATACCTCCAGGCCACCCTTATATCCCCACCCCTTTTGCCTCCGGGCAACTACATGCCCCCACCGACAAACCACCTTTCAACCACCAACATATCAAGATGATGCCGCAGTGCCATTCAATGATCCACACCTCTAGTGCCACAATCAAAGGGTTAGCGCATATAGCTCTAACATGACACCGCAGCACTTATAACCTGAGCCATGCTCAACGGCAAGCAAGTCTAAGGTGGGTGTGTGCCTTTAGCACAGTCACCGCTATGGCCTGTACCTTTAGTATAATGACCGGGCACAAGTGGTGCCAACCGCCAACAATTCATTTCCACCAATCACAATCTCATCATCATCATCATTCACACTGGCCATTGCGCAATGACCATGATACTCATCATCATTTAATCAATCAACACATAATCACATAACAATCAAGGCACAACAACAACGACATGTATTACACATAAATTCCTAGAACGATACCTAAAACACCAAACGAGACTCACGCACGACCAACAGGACACAACGGAACACGGGGAAACATCAAATGGGGGAAATCATCACGACACTCGACCGATTTCCAGCAGGTAGGTGGCAGGTGGCAGGTGGGTGACCACCCGCCAACCACCCGGCGACGGTCACTCGCCATCCCAGCGGGTGGTCGGCGGGCATACCACCTCCCGCCGGCTGCCCGCTGGAACAGTGATACAGGCTACGGGTAGGTAGAGGGTGGTCAGTCCCCCCACTTACCCCCCACTGATATATAGGCAACTTCCAGTCCCAGGATCTCTCGTGGAACCCGAAATCGTGTCAAAACACATTCAAATAGATAATGACAACACCACGTATTCAATTAATGGAATTAAACCAAGAATCACACCAAATACATCCTAACACGATTCCTAAACATGCCAAGACCTAACATAAACCATATAATGATTCAGGAACATCCGGAACCACAAGAACATCAAGAAATCTATATGCAAGGTCCTAAACACAAGTCCTAAGCTAGACTCAACACCCGGTCATGCATAATCCCACCCAAGCATACCAAGAACATCATAATACGAAATTCACGATATAAACCCTAGGGCTCTAGACATAATCAAAACACAAGATCATTCATATAATCAATCATAGTATCAAGAATATCAATATTATCATATAAACATCAAGATTATCACATAAACACAATATAAACCCTAGGCAAGCTCTATCAAGACTCAAGCACAGAATCATATATCAAAGGAGTCAATGAATAAGATATAGCGAGGAAAATTGGTTTAGTCGAGACATGGGTTACCTCTTAGCCTTAATTAGCCCTCCCTAGGCTATTAAGGTTCTTCTCTAAGATTTCCCTCTGATTGATCTCCCTAGGCTTGGTGGTGAGGAAAATCTTGGGAATATTTTCGTGTAAAATGACTATGGGTGGTAAGGGTTCTAATTGCTTTCTAATCCCCTATTTATAGAATCAGGAATCCTAATCAGAATCTGAATAGTAAAGGCCTATTTTCTTTATTCCTACTAGATATATAGGTCTAGGATTCCTAATTAGAATCTGACTAGTAAAAGGTTTACTCTCTTTATTCCTAATAGGCTTAAGACTCTAGTTTAGGCAAGGGTCCATGATCCATGGTGGACCACATTAATTAATTAAAGGGAATCCTAACCAAATTAAATCCTTTTTAATTATTATTATTAACGAAATTAATTAATTAAATAATTAATTCGGGATTGAAGGCCGTAACACGGGGTGTTACAATTGCGCAATGATGGTTGAGATCGATGATAATGTGATTGTGATTGGTGGAAATGAATTGTTGGCGGATAGCACAACGAGTGCTCGGTTATTGTGCTAAAGGCACGGACCACCCCTTAGACTTTCTGGCTAAAGGCTTAGGTCAGGGTATAAGCACCACGGTGCCATGTCAAAGCTATATGCGCTAACCCCTTGGTAGTGGTGCTAGAGGCACGGATCATGCGAATGGAACTTCGGTGCTACCATGTTGGTGGACTTGTTGGTGGTATGTCGGTGGGGGCATGTAGTTGCCTGGAGGGATAAGGGAGGCGATATAAGGGTGCCATGGAGGTACAGGCTGGAACTGATATAAGGATGGAGAAGAGTAAATGTTGGAACTTGGTATAAAGTTAGAAGATGGACTGTGTGCTTTGATGAATACTTGCTAATTGATTGTCATTGGGTCCCCTTGTTGCCTTTAATTGCTATTTATGAGCTTACTTGTCCATTATGCCTTGCAAACGTAGGATTCATGCTAGTATCTCTATAATATTCGAAATGTTTCCTTATTGATGGTGTCTCGAGTCTTGATCCTGTTTTTAAAGCTAGAGTTGCTCAGGATTATATATGTATTCCAGTTTCAAAATGAATTTCTTATATTTAACTATATTGTACTTAACGCGTGGGAGTGGGTTACCAGCATTATTCGCTGACGATTGTTACACCGTATGTTTTTCAGGTGCAGATCAGTAGCTCCAGAGTGCGCTAGATGGATACAAGGACCTAGCTCAGATAGCTTAGTATTAGTTAGATAGCATGTGAGCCTTGGCTTATATTATGAATACTAATTACAGTTTATGCTTGTTAAGTTAGTTTAGCCTGTGCGTCTAGGTTCTCAAACCTAGACGTGGCATAGCACCCCGATACTCATGTTGTTAGTTCTGCCTTGTCTGGATGGATAATGATAGATTTTCCTTTATTTTATAGGATTTAAATGTCTTAAAAATTAAGGGTATTACATTATTGGTCAATTTGACCCCTTTTTTCTTTACATAATTAAAAACAGGGTTAATTCCACCAGAGGTCCCTTGTCTTTATTGCTGTATAAATAGCTGCTCAGCTCTTTGAGAATAAAGGTACAAAACCTTTCTATATAAATCATCTGGTATCAGCCAAATCCTACGATCCAATGGCCAATGAACAAAACCCACCCGTTCCAGCCGCGGACTCTGCCTCTGCCGGCGGCTCTGCTGCCATCGCAGCCATCCCGGAACCTCGCCACACGAACAATCTCCACCAAGCTCACCATTTGGTCTCCATAAAGCTTTCCTCAGTCAATTACCTCTTCTGGAAAGCTCAACTCGTCCCTTTTCTCCGAGGCCAAAGCCTTTTTGGCTATGTCGATGGAACCAGTGTATGCCCGCCGGAATACGTCACCACTGCGACAGAAGCAACCGTCCGGACGGTGAACCTTCTTCTCGTCGTTTGGGTGCAACAGGATCAATCGATCCTTAGCATGCTTATTTCATCGATGGCGGATGACGTTCTATACCTGGCGATTGGTCATCTCACGTCTCGTTCTCTATGGATGGCCATCGAAACCGCATTAGGTTCCACCTCCCGTGCGCGCTCCCTCAGCTTACTTACACAGCTACAGAGCTTGCACCAAGGAGATGCATTGCCGGCGGTGTATCTCGGCAAAGCCCAGGTCTTGGTCGAGCAACTTGCATAGGCGGGGCGCCCTATCAGACTAGACGAAAAAAATCTCCACGTTTTTCGTGGTCTTCGTCCAGAATATCGGAGCTTGGTTGCCTCCCTCACGACAAAGAGTCCTCCTCTGACGATCCCGAAAGTTGTAGACTTATTGAATACACACCAGTATTTGTTCCCAGAAGAGTCTTCCATGGCGTTGCCTTCGTCGCCGGCGGCTATGATAGCTCACCAGCCACCACCTCCGACGTACAACTGAGGCCGTGGTCGTGGTAATAGAGGTAACCGGGAAAGAGGCAATCGTGGTGGTCGTAGCGGCGTTAGGTGTCAACTCTGCGACACAGCCGGCCATACGGCTCTAACTTGCTACCGCCGATTTGTTAATCCATCCGGCACGCAGGTTCATCCCTCTCAGACCAATGTTCGTGCCGCACCGTCGCCGCAAGCCCATATGGCCTCCCAACATCCGCAGGAAGACTTCAATTCTGCCCCTTTTTCCAACACTTGGTTCCCCGACACTGGAGCTAGTGCTCATGCAACACCGGATGCAGCTGTCTTAAACCATGTCAAGCCTTACACAGGTGATGAGACTCTCCGCGTAGGGGATGGTACAGGTCTAGCGATTCAAAACACAGGTTCCTTTTCTCTCCCTTCTATGTCACGGTCACTGTTTTTACATAATGTTCTGCACGTACCAAAATTGCGTGCTTCACTTCTTTCCGTTCAACAATTTACTCGTGAAAATGGTGTTTATTTTGAATTTCACCCGAGTTATTTTGTTGTGAAGGACCGTACCACCCAGCAGATTCTTCTTAGTGGTCCTAGCCAAGGAGGTATGTACTCACTCCGTGCCTCCCCGGTTGCGTTCGTCTCAGCTAAAACATCCCCACAAACCTGGCACAACCGCCTTGGGGATCTGCATAATCAAGTATTGCGTCAGGTCCTGTCAAATTGTCCAGTTTCAGGTTCTTTTCATTCTGTTAATAACCTATGTACTGCGTGCCAAATGGGAAAATTTGCACGATTTCCCCTACCCCGCGTTACAAGTTCTAGTAAGTCTGTATTGGATTTAGTTTTTACAGACATCTGGGGGCCTTCTCCGGTTCCCTTAGTAGATGGTCATAGGTACTTTCTCTTGTTCGTTGATGATTACTCGCATTATGTCTGGTATTACCCAATGAAACTAAAAACAGATATATATGCAATATTCAATGTATTACGTGCTTCTGTTGAAAAATACTTTTCCAAGTCAATAAAATCTATTCAATCGGACATGGGCAGTGAATACCGTAAGTTGCACTCGATTTTCACCGCCGCAAGCATTTCCATTAGATTATCATCACCGCACACTCACGAACAAAACGGACGTGTGTAACGAAAATATCGCCACGTGGTTGAAACCGGACTAGCCCTACTGGCTCAAAGTCATGTTCCGAAAAAGTATTGGGTCTATGCATTCGAGTCAACAGTTTATCTAATTAATCGTTTACCGTCCACAGTCACACAAAGAGTCAGTCCGTATTATCTCTTATACAACAAGTCTCCTAATTATTCCTATTTAAGAGTCTTTGGGTGTGAATGTTTTCCATGCTTACGTCCTTATAACAGACACAAAATGGACTATAGGTCCACTCCGTGTGTGTTTTTGGGATATCCGGATTCTCTACTTGGATACAGGTGTTTGGACAGAAGTACAGGCCGAGTTTACATGGCGAGGCACGTGCGCTTCAATGAAAATACCTTTCCTTTTGCCATAGTACGGGAAGAAAATGTGTGTGCCACTGATGATGTCACAACCGCCATGCCCTGGGCGTCCGCACACTTACACCAGACTCCGCCGCCACCACAGCCGGTCGCGCCAGCCTTGACTGCTGTCCAGCCACCACCCACGGCAGTGTAACCAGCCGCCAACATCAACCCAACACTACAAGAAAAATGCACATAGACAACACTAGAAAGACAACAGTTTTTAAGAAAAGTGTTATCTTTTGTATAAAAGACAAAAGTTTGGTCCAAAACCGTTGTCTTTGATGCAACACTTTTGTCAAAGACAACGGTTTTTACTTAACCGTTGTTATAAGTGTGTTGTCTTTGTGCATTTTGTGAAAAGACAACACCACAACGACAACAGTTTTTTAAAACCATTGTCTATGTGCGGTTTTTTTAAAAAAAAAAAGATAACGGTTTTTTTAACCGTTGTCGTTGGTGTGTTGTCTTTAAGCGCACTTGAATACACAACACTAGAAAGACAACGGTTTTTTAAAACCGTTGTCTTTGTGCGCTCTTTATTTTTAAAACGACAACGGTTTTATTTAACTGTTGTCGTTGGTGTGTTGTCTTTAAGCGCACTAGAATACACAACACTACAAAGACAACGGTTTTTTAAAACCGTTGTCTTTGTGCATTATTATTTTATAAAAGACAACGGTTTTATTTAACCGTTGTCATTTATGTGTTGTCTTTAATAGCACTTGAATACACAACACTACAACAACAACGGTTTTATATAATCGTTGTCGTTGCGCGTTCTTTATTTGTTTAAGACAACGGTTAAATACCGTTGTCTTTGGTATGTTGTCTTTAAGCGTATTTGAATACACAACACTATAAAGACAACGATTTTTAACCGTTGTCTTTGCACATCATTATTTTATAAAAGAAAACAGTTGTATAAAATATAAACAAAGATGTTAACAACAAGAGTTAAACCTATGACCTCAAACATAGCAATTAAAGTTTAACCAACTAAGCAACACAAACTTTTATGTATTAAAGTGCAACATCTGGTATATAACTGGGTTGTTTCTGTGTTGTCTGTGAAAACCAAGACAACGATTTTATAAAATAGGTTAAAAATGCCTCTAAGAAGAATAGAACTCAAGACTTTTAAAATAATCTAACATAACAAACTAAGCTAAACTAACCACGCCACACCAACACTTATATACTCAAGCACAACATCTAAGATATAACGAGTTTGGTTCTATGTTGTCTCTGAGAACCAAGACAATGATTGTATAAAATATAGCTTAAGGATGCCACCAAGAAGGATAAAACCTGTGACCTCTAACATAACAAATAAAGCTAAACCCACCAAGCCACACCAACTCTTATTTACTAAAGTGTTACACCGTATATTTTACCTATAATTTGGACCTTCATTGTTTTTGTTACGAGATGAAAATAGATGTTTAGAAGATCTAGAACAAAAATAAAAATGTAATTAAATTTTTTTGTCCAAATATAGTGCATAAAAATTTAACAAAGAAATAATACAATTCAAAAGTTAATTTAATAGTTCTATTTTCGTTCAGAATAGTTCTACGTACTAATTTATTTACTCACTCTTTACATGTAGTTCCAACAAGTTGATTATGACAAAACGGTTATTGATCGGGTGCGTTCAGAATGAGCCGATATTGTATCAAGTCATATAGAGTAGGTATGATTTGATGATTAGAACGTTGTGATCATTTAGACTTAGTTCGTGGAAATGTTTTTTGTAGTATTATGACTTGGATGGTGATTCGATTTGAATTAGTCATGAAAGTATTTAGACTTGTTAATTAGTTCTTTTGTATTTTGAATCTTAACTTGTGCAAAATTATGTAAATACACTTGGTGATGGTGAATGGATAAATTAATTTTGTATATTATTAAAATTTAAGCAGGTTAAAAACGGTTAAAACCGTTGAGACAACGGTTAAAAACCGTTGTCTATTTTACAACAGACAATAGTTTAAAACTGTTGTCTTTTCTACAAAAGGCAACAGTTTATGAGCGTGACTTTTAACAACAGCGGTTTCAACAACACACAATAGACAACAGTTTATAACTGTTGTCTTTTAAAGAAAAGACAACAGTTAAAAACCATTGTGTTTTAGAGAAAAGACAACGGTTAAAAACCGTTGTCTATGTGCATTACTTTTAACAACACCGGTTTTAACAACAAACAATAGACAACGGTTAAAAAACCGTTGTCTTTTCTATAGAAGAGCGTTGAATTCTGAGTCCATCGCAGCACGCCAATGTGAGTTTTTCACAGCCTGCGAATGGCACGTCGGTTCCACGTCGTCAACAGAGGCCACCAAAGCTGCCGGCCTTCGTCGGGCATTAGTGGTTTGCCGCATCTCCATCAGGTGCGTACGGATAGTGGGACGCACCGTACGCCGACGCCGACTGGTGGTGGTTGAGGACGTCGACGGATGATAGGACGTCGTGGCTGGGGCCGCGGACGATGAGGTTGCACTACAAGAAAAGTATCAGTGTTTATAATAAACTATTATATTCCTACAAAAAATGTGAAACACTTTACCCACCGTAGCTGCAAAGATTCAATATATCACCAGGATTAGATGTAATCTTTCACTCAAAAACTAACTTAACTACAACGGTTAAAAAACCGTTGTCTTTTCTATAAAAGACAACGGTTAAAAACCGTTGTCTATATTCGTGATTTTTAACAACACCGGTTTCAACAACAGTAAATAGACAACGGTTTAAAAACTTTTGTCGTTTCTAGAAAAGACAACGGTTTAAAACCGTTGTCTATGTGCATGACTTTTAACAACACCGGTTTCGACAACAGTAAATAGACAACGGTTAAAAAACCGTTGTCGTTTCTAGAAAAGACAACGGTTTAAAACCGTTGTCTATGTGCGTGACTTTTAATAATACCGGTTTCAACAACACTTAATAGACAACGGTTAAAAAATCGTTGTCGTTTCTAGAAAAGACAACGGTTAAAAAACCGTTGTCTATGCGCGGGACTTACAACAACACCGGCTTCAACAACAGAAATTATACCCCTACGACAACGGTTATTAACCGTTGTCTATGTGCATTTTTCTTGTAGTGCAACCTCATCGTCCGCGGCCCCAGCCACGACGTCCTATCATCCGTCGACGTCCTCAACCACCACCACTCGGCGTCGGCGTACGGTGCGTCCCACTATCCGTACGCACCTGATGGAGATGCGGCAAACCACTAATGCCCGACGAAGGCCGGCAGCTTTGGTGGCCT